CACTATGTAGCCAAGGATAACTTTGAACTCCAATCCTCCTGTCTCCATCTCCCAAGTGCTGAGACTACAAGCATGTACCACAATGTCCAGTGTCCCCAATCATTTTGAAATATACCTCAAACCTTAATATCATTTCATATGCCATTCTATTTTGCCTTTTCAATTTAATTTATTTTTTTGGTCTTTTTGAAGCAGGGTCTCCCTGTGGCCCCAGCTGTCCTGGAACTCACTATGTAGAGGAGGCTGGCCTTGAACTCACAAAGATCCGCCTGCCTCTGCCTCCCAAGTGCTGGGACTACAGGCGTGCGCCACCATGCCCAGCATGATTTTATATTTTTAAAGTGCTCAGCATTCCATAGAGATTTCCTGCAGCATTTATGACTAAAATTTAAGAAGCTCATGTATATAACTTATAAAAAAGCTTATGTATTTGGGGTTTGTTTTCCAGGTCATATTTTTCCCCATATAAAACATATAATTTTACTTTTGGTATACTAAGCTGGATGTGGAAAAATGTTTGTATCTACAAACAAAGAGAATTTTAAAATCTAAGAAGCAAGAAATGGTTGTAAAGATAACAAGGCTGGGTTTTTTTTTGGGGGGGGGAGGTTAATTTCTACCATTATATTTGTGAGCCTAGACACAGAACAGGAAGCAGTAAGCTGCTATTGCTCTAAAGATGGGATGTTGATAGTTTCTGGATTGTTTCTAACAGCACATGTACTCATAAGAGTATTTTCAAGATTTTAACTTGCCTTATACATTGCAATTGTTGATTAATAAAACTTCTGCAAATAACAAGTTATATTTTAATTAACAGGATTATGGCTTCATTAAATTTATTGAGATATTTGATTATCAAAGATAATGAAAATGACAATCAAGTAAGTGAATTATTTGAAAAAGTGGCTGTGAGTATATTCAGAATACATATTTCAACTTTTCATGATTAGTATCTTCTTAAGCCAACGTTTATTATTTTAGCAGCTACAGAGGCACGGATGACTATTGTGATACCTGCACTTACTTAATTCCCAGAGGCACTTGTTTGTTCACGTCTAATTTCCCTTCCCTTTGTCTCCTGCCGAGCCTCTGCTCTCTTGCCCGGAGTGCGGCCTCACCCTGTGGGTACTGAGATATGTTCGGGTCCTAAGTTAATGGACCCTGTGAGCTCAGCATGTATGAATATCTTACTCAGTTTCCTCTGCTTATATATAGTTTAGGATTTAAGTCTGAGCTATATGAAATAAAATGATCTGATGTCACCTCATCAGACATGACAAACTAAAGCATTTTTAGCTGTAAAACTGAATTTGTTAATAGCACCTTTTAGATGATGTGTAGGAAGTTGGATTTTTTTTTAATAGCACTTCATTAGAAGTACTCAATAAATAGAAAACTATTTGAGGAGGATTTGTCATACAGTAAAATTACATTTGCTTTTAATCTTCTCCTTTCTTCCTACTCTATTCTAATAATTGCTTCCCTATATGTCAGCTCTATTAACTGTAACCACATGAATCATGTGTTGTTAATCTGGATTCTTTTTACAAGACAATAATAGAATGAAAATAATTGATTTTTACATAAAAGTGCCAAAGAGATAGTTTTTAATCAAATAAATCACAACTTAGAATGAAAAGTTTATGGGAAAAGTAGCATTGTCCTTTGGCAGATCTAGTAGACTCAGTTTTTTGACCTGTTCATCTTTCTTTAGCCAAAAATAGTTCATTAGTTTTATCAACTCCTGCTTACCCTGCACTAGGAGGTTTTTTCAACATTTTGTTGTGAAAAAAATTGAAATATTCAACAAAGTGGAATTTGTGTAGCAGTCACTTACCCGCCTACTTCTACCTCATCTGCTCTGCTTGCTTCATTGTGTGTCCATCTCTACCCTCTGCCCAGCTTTCTCTTACTGATGCATTTTGAAGCAAACTGTAGACATCATTATATTTTATCCTAACTGTTCCAGCAATACTCTATTAAGTAGAGTTAACTATTTGTCAGCAGTTTTTCTTTGAGGTAAAAATTTATATAAAATGAATTGCATAAATGTTGTGTTCAGTTACTGAGTTTTAATAGATGTATAGATCCTGTTTATCCAAATGTGTATCACATTTACTGTCATAATATTCCCTCAGGTCTCTTCTTATTGCTCCACCTGTCCCTGCCAAAGGTGCACTTGTCCTGGCCAGGTGCTGCACATTGTTTACTCCATAATGCTCCATAATGTTGAAACAGAAGTACTCTTTGTCGTCATCATGGTGGTGTGTCATCCCCCCCACCCCTGTGGTAGAAATGTCTGTGACTTATGTAGAACTTCTGAAATCAAACTAAATCCTGACTTCTAAAGAAGCAGAAAAGGTCCAACCTAAGATTTAAGAGCACTAGGGCCAGGCAGGGTGTGATGGCGCATGCCTTTAATCCCAGCACTTGGGAGGCAGAGGCAGTTGGATCTCTGTGAGTTTGAGGCTAGCCTGGTCTACATAGTGCGTTCCAGGCCAGCTGGGGCAACAGGGAGACCCTGTCTCAAAAAGACCAAAAAAAAAATAAAAATAAAAAAAATAAAGAGCACTAGGGCCCTGAGGCTTCAGGCATGTACCCTTAGAGAAAGGTATGAGTTTTACTTCTAGCTATCAGGAAAGGATGAACATACGTAAGAGGTGATCTGATTTGCTTGACACAAAGGAACCTGATTGATTAGGACTGGCAGATTTATTAGATGCATAGTGAAGCACCAGGGCAGAAGGGTCTCTCTGACAGGAGAGGGGAGGCTTGGGAATCATTTAGCATTGTACAATGTCTGCTTTGAGATTCACAAATAACACCTTACTTTTCTTTGGCATGAATGTTTTCATGGTGAGGGAACCTACCTAGAAGGCTGCCTTCTTGTTTAATGGTCAATTTTTTTTCCCTTAAAAACCACATATTCCAGGTTTTTGCTAGTATGTTGCCATAAGAATTACCATACTAGGGAAATTAACAAACATCCTTGTCCCAAATAACAAATTGATTATCTTATAAACAGCTTAACAGCCTGTCCATTATGGAGCCACTTCTCCCAAGAACAGTCAAAATAGGTCATATATAGAAAGGAGGAGAGGCAAGTTTAGCTACTGTAGTTAATAAATAATGGACAGCTTCTCTCCAGATGTGATGGTGCCCATCTATCCAGCACTTAAAGGGCCGAGGCAAGAGGATTAAAAGTTCAGGCCTGCCTACAATAGGTAGTGAGAGCCTATCTAAAACAAAGAGTGTACTGATTTGTACAAGTTTTTTTTGTTGTTGTTGTTGTTTTGTTTTGTTTTTTTGTTTTTTTTGGTTTTTTTTTTTTTTTGGTTTTTTTGAGACAGGGTCTCCCTGTAGCCCCAGCTGTCCTGGAACTCACTATGTAGACCAGGCTGGCCTTGAACTCACAGAGATCCACCTGTCTCTGCCTCCCACGTGCTGATTTGTACAAGTTTTAATTAAAGGAGAAACAATTCAGCTGATAGAGTTGCGGCATTTCATTCAGAGGAACTCCTACCAGTACCTGTTTTTGACCAGTTAAGTGTACTGAGAGAGGGAAAGCTGAAATGTCATCAGAGGGGCAGGCAGGAAGGAAGATTAAGATTCCTTAATCTTCTAAGCAATAGATATTCTGTAGTATTATTTCGTACAGTTAGGAGAAAGGACAAAGTAGGGTCTGCTCATGTCCTTTTGAATTTCTTCCTTTATTATGGTTGACTATTTTTTTGCAAGATACCTGCCTATTCTAACAGTCAGTTTCATTGTGGTGTAGAAATACCTAATCTTCCTTTTGTGAAGTAGGCTGCAGTGAATTTTTAATGTATAATTAAGACTTAGAACTCAAGGCTGGAACTCTTACATCAGTGAGTCTACCTGGGTATTAACTTAAAAGCAGACATTTGTGAATACTTCAAAATTTTAATCCTTATAATCATTTTAAAAATCCTGCTACAGAAAAATCTGGTAACCTTCATGTAAGACAAAGAACATACTCTTACCTCCATAACTTCACTCCTACATGCTTCTAAAAATATTGTAGTTCATAGGAAAGATTTGTGAAATTATGCTGAACAGTATGTGTAAAAGATTTTCTTTAGCCTAACGTTGGCATTTTTAATTAACTTTTAAATGTTATAAACTATGAATTAAAATACATTTTTTGCCCTTAGCTGGACACCATGGCTCATGCCAGTACTTGGAAGGTGAGCTTGGCAGAGTAAAAAGGAAACGGAAACATGGATATATACTATTATGGCATCGGCAGAAGCTTTAAAAAAAATTTTTTTTTAATGAGTATTTTTCCCTGCATATATCTAAGTGCACACAGTGCCTGCAGAGGCCAGTAAAGGGCGTGGGGGTCCCTGGAAGCGGAGTTAAGGATGGTTGTTAGCCACCATGTGGGTGCTGGGAACCAAACCCAGGTCCTCTGCAAGAGCAGCCAGTGCTCTTAACCTCTGAGCCATCTCTCCAGTCTTTTTTTTTTTTTTTTTTTTTTAAAGATACATTTTAGCTGGGTGTGGTGGCGCACGCCTTTAATCCCAGCACTTGGGAGGCAGAAGCAGGCGGATCTCTGTGAGTTCAAGACCAGCCTGGTCTACATAGTAAGTTCCAGGACATCTGGGGCTCCAAGGAGACCCTGCCTCAAAAAAAAAAAAGACAAAAAAAAGATGCTTTTTAATTATTTTTAATTATGCATATGTGTGTGTCTGTATGGGCACCTAGAGGTCAGAAGTTATTGAATCCCCCTGGAGCTAGAGTTATAGCCTGTTGTGAACTGCCTGATGTGGGCGCTGGGGCCTGAACTCAGGTCTTCTGAAGAGTAATATCTACTTTTGACCACTGGGCTGTCTCTCTAGCTCAGCAGAAGCTTTTAAACATGAAAAATTGTATATTTTAAATGATGCAGACATTAGAAATGTTAAAACCCTTCAAGGCCAGCCTGGTCTACATAGTTCCAGGACAGCTGGGACTATAGGGAGACCCTGCTTCAAAAAGACATAAAACAAACAAACAAAAAAACACAAAACAAAACAAAACAAAAAAACCTCAGATTTTAGACATTGGCTTCCTCTTGAGTAAAAGAGACTTCAACCATATCCATTATATTTTTACATAAATGTGAGAAAGTACTTCCTTTTGATAAGGTAAGTGTAGGTTAAAGAGTGTTCTCCAGATACACTTTGTGTTTGAATGTCATTGATAGCCTTAGCCTTGAAAGTGAGCAGTTCTAGTGGGTTCTGCCTCTAAGCTTAGAGGTAGAGGCAGAGCGGAAAGTTAAAAGGGGAGGGAGGGACAGAAGATGGAGAGTGGCAGAAAAGAGACGTGAGAGCAGGAGGTGAGCCCTGCTTGTCACTCTGTAGACTGCAACAGCTGAGGAAGTTCCTGCTGGAACACTGTAGGATTGAAGTTTTCCATGAAGGCAGAGAAAACTTTCTACTGATGAACAATTAAGGAAATTTGTGTGAGGGTGGTGTATGTGAATGCGTGTGCATATGTGTACAGCCATGTGGAGGACAGAAGTTGGCCTTCCTCTATCACTCTGTCCTATTTTAAAGACAGGTTCTCTCACTGAACCTGGAACTGGCATATTGGCTAAACTGACTGGCCAGTGACCCCTCCCCCTTCCTTGTGTCTCCGCCTCCTCCCCACACCCAAGCACTGGGGTTACAGCTCTGTACCATCACATCTGGCTTTTGGCATCCAAACTTAGCTTGCACAGCACACTTTACCCACTAAGCCATTTCCCTAGTCCCTAAAATCACATTTAAAAAGATTTTAACATTATACTACTAAGATAGGTTCACTGTTTAAAAAGCAAGATAGCAAGCTAAAAGAAAAGGAATAATGGGGTTGGTGAGATGATTCAGTGGATGCCAACCTGAGTTCAGACCCCCATAGTGGAGAGAGCTCTCATTCCACACATAGGCCATGGCATAAGTGTGGGGACCCCACAAGGTGGCAGGAGAGAACCAACTCCAGATGGTTGTCCACACATACACCAGGCATGCAGCACCAGAACTCATACAATATACCCACATGTGTGCACAAAATAAATTTACAAAAATAAAGAAAAAATAAAAGCAGTAATCCACAAGCCCATCTGCCATTGTTGGTCTGCTATCTGTGTTCTTCTAGGTACTCCACAAATATTCTTCACATAAAAATGAAGTCATGCTATAGAAAACAGTTTCTCTCATTCACCAGTGTGTACTGAGGAACAACATTTTAATGGCTATATAGTTTTCCATTGTGTCAGTATACCACAATTTACCATTCCCCTGTTATGAAATATATTAATTCTTAGTTTTCACTAAACAATGTTTTTTAATATTTTATTTATTTTTATTTAGTGTATGAGTGTATTGTCTGCATGTAGGTAAGTGCACCCGTGTCATGCAATGCCCACGG